TATACCACACTGCTTCGGCTTTGTCCTGTTTCTGGACACTACCTCACTCATGTTCCTTTTCCGGTGTCAGTCCCTGTTCCCTTGCCAGCCCGGAAGCGACCCTGTCCCTCCCAGCTTCGTTGAAGGCTGATTGCTGGTTGATAACCCCTCCCTAGAGAGTTGCCTGGAGCCTGCTCTACTTCCAGTCTCTTGAGCCTTGTGACAGCCAGCCAGAGTTCCCTCCTTGCCTTCCTGCCTGGGCCAGCCCAGTGTGGGGCTTGTAGGGGAAGAGTTCCCAGTCACACTCCCACACCCACTCCCCTGCTCTGTGTGAAACTGAAGATTTACAAGCCCAGGAATCCTCTCAAAGATGCCACTGTCTCCCAGATAACCCTGTGGACACAAGTAATGGCCCTTTTCCCCCAAAAAACTGGTTTCTCCTTTCCCCAGGGAAGGAGTCACAGAACCCTGAGAATGAATATGCCCCAACTTGCCCCAGTGTGCCCAAGCCTTGTGCATTTCCTGACTCAGCCCTCCCACCCCCACCTGGGGGCCTTTTCTGCCCCCATCATCCTATCCCCTACTCCCAGGGCTCTTAATTTCTCATTTCCTCTATCTAGTACCCTTGTTACAGGCATTTTTCTCCCCATTTCATGGACTGGGAAACTGAGGCCCAGAGACAATATGTACCTCATGCTTGGTTACAGTGAATCAGCAACAGAGCAGAGCTGGGGCTAAGACTTAGGTTAGGTGTCTTGTATTCCAGTCTGAGGTTCTCTCCACTGCCCCAGGGTACCCTTATTTCCTTCCCAGACCTGCTCCCAATATTGTCTATCCAAGATGGAAATATTTTTAATGCCCAGAGAGGCAACCTTACAGGGTGAAACCATTTCCCTCCACTCTGGTCCCAGGGGAAGTAGAGACCTGGGAGGGAGCTGGGGCCATCCCTGGGTCCTGTGCAGATCCCTGCCCCCAGAATTTTTGTTTCTATTTCCAGTGGGGGAATTCTTCTTCCTCCCTCCATTTGATTTTTGAGGCTTCTGAACCAGTGATTGAGAGGTCCAGCTGGAGGGTATGGGGTTCTCAGACCAGAGTATAGCTTGTATACAGTAGAATGGGGGAAATGGGAGAGCAGTGTTGGTGCTTGGTGAAAAGAGGGACACTTAGAGATCCTGTGTGTCTAAAACAGGGCTGTTTCCTCCCAGGGAGTAGGGATCTGGTTGTGGGAGAGAGTCGGGGAAAGGAAGTCACATACTGGCCAGAAAAAGTCCCCCGTGGCTGAGAGGAAGTAGCCAATGAGAGGAGGAATCTTGCCACACCAGTATAAATAATCACAGGGTTTCCGGAAACTCTGCTCTGTTCCAGAACTCAGAAGAGCAGTTCCTCACTCCAAAGCACTGTGAACTGTAGAAGGGATCAGGGCAATGGCATGGAGCTGGGACTTCTCTTGTACTTCCCCCACTAATAATGACAGCAGCCTATTTATTTGGCACTTCCTATGTGCCACACCTCATGCCGAACACTTTCTTCATGTTTGTTCATTTCATCCTCTTGGCAATTCTAACACAATAGGCAAGATGATTCCCATTTTACAGATGAGAAACTTGAGACGGGAAACTTAAATATATTGCCCAAGATCAAACATGACTGGTTGGTGGAACTATGATTACAATCCCTGGCCAGTCTGACTTAAGCATGGATTGTCAGTGATAGTGTTTTAATGGCACTGTGTTCTCTATCCAAGAGTCTGGAAGGCCCTGAAATTTTTCAGAGGCACATGCTATGATCTCAGGAAAAGGACGGAACTTGAGGGGGGCAAATCAAACATTTGTTTTCCTCTCCTGCCCATCCCTCTTGGCTGGGCTTGGAGGATCTACCCTACCCTGCCAAGGGCTTTGAGAGAAGAGGCTGATGTCTGGGAGCCACAGCCTTTGCCTCATTAATCATTACATACCAGATTCCAGACCAAATCCCAGCCCTGGCTCAACCCCCAGTATTCTCCTGCACCAAGTTGCCAGATAGGGTTTACTGTGCTTGCGAGAGTTATGAGGTCAGCTCTCCCGCTTTCTCCCCATCCCTCAAGCACCCTGGATTGAGATAGGGCAGCTGTCTAGAGAATTTTGCTCCTTACTCAGCAGATTTCTCACTGTGCCTTTTGGTTTGCACTCAGTAGCCAAGATGTCAGATTTGGAGTTAAAACATCAGTGTGCTGGGCAGGGTGGGCCCTGAGTTGGTAGAAGCTCTACCCATGGCTACATCTCAGAGTGACCTGGGACAGCAGCTATGAACTAGAACCCCTCCAGTCTACTCAGTGGGAGGGGTCCCTATCTGGTAGAGGATCTGGTAGACCCCCTACTTATGTACCTCAACTTTTTGTGTCTCTACTGCCTGGAGGGGAAAAAAAAGTAGCTAATACTTAATCAAATACTTATTATGACCCAAGGTACTGTTCTAAATGCCTTTGATGTGCCCGTTTACATAAGCCTTACAACAACCCGGTGAGGTAGGGTAGCATTTTGTCCTCATTTTATAGGTAAGAATACAGAGGCATGCAGAGGTTAAGTCTTTGGTCCAGGGTCACACGGGCAGCAGATAGAAAAACTAGGATTAGACCTTATTCAGTCTGGTACCAGAACTTACTTGCTTTACATAATACATTACACATTATACTGCCATCCTCCTTACACCTGAGCATCGTGGCTTGGTCTCCAGGCCTCGCTCTCATTGTCTCTCTCTCATTCTGTCTCAGAGATCTGTCTTCACGGGATTGCAGAACGGTGTCAGGTTGAGAGAACAGGGGCTGGTTTCCCTCCATGTGTTCCCTTCTTTCTCCCCAGCGGCTAGAGGCCTCCCTAACCACGTGTGTCCTGTGATCTGCCTGTAGGTCACTGCATCCGGAGGGGCCCGGAAGGGGAAGGAGGCCTTGCCTCCATTGTAGCAGCCGCGTCCACGATGCAGAGCATCAAGTGTGTGGTGGTGGGCGATGGGGCTGTGGGCAAGACGTGCCTGCTCATCTGCTACACAACTAACGCCTTCCCCAAGGAGTACATCCCCACGGTGTTCGACAACTACAGCGCCCAGAGCGCGGTGGACGGGCGCACAGTGAACCTGAACCTGTGGGACACAGCGGGCCAGGAGGAGTACGACCGGCTGCGCACGCTCTCCTACCCTCAGACCAACGTCTTTGTCATCTGTTTCTCCATTGCCAGTCCGCCCTCCTACGAGAACGTGCGGCACAAGTGGCACCCAGAGGTGTGCCACCACTGCCCTGATGTGCCCATCCTGCTGGTGGGCACCAAGAAGGACCTGAGAGCGCAGCCTGACACCCTCCGGCGCCTTAAGGAGCAGGGCCAGGCGCCCATCACACCGCAGCAGGGCCAGGCCCTGGCCAAGCAGATCCATGCTGTGCGCTACCTCGAGTGCTCGGCCTTACAGCAGGACGGCGTCAAGGAAGTGTTTGCTGAGGCCGTCCGGGCCGTGCTCAACCCCACACCCATCAAGCGTGGGCGGTCCTGTGTCCTCTTGTGACCTGGCACTCGGCTTGGAGGCTGCCCCTGCCCCCCCACCAGTTGTGCCTTGGCGCCTTGTCTGCCCCCAGCTGTGCCTTAAGGACTAATTCTGGCACCCCTTGCCAGGGGGGGTCCCTGAATGCCCTTTTCTCTGAATGCCTGTTTCTCCTAAATGAGACCCATAGGGAAGGGGGCTCTGGGCCCTGCCCCACTCTGCTTGGGAACACCAGGTATTTCTGAGAGCTCACCCAGGCCAAGGCCGGACCCCTCTCCAAGAAGCCAACCCGAGTGCCCCTCCCCCATCTCCCCTACTGACCAGTTGATCCAGCTTTCCACACAGATGTTGCTGCCTATTGTGGTGCCTTCTCTCAGGTTAGGAGCCCTCAGCTGTCCCTAACCTCTCCCTCGCTGCTCTTTGAATTGCTCCCCCCTCAAAATGCTCTCTCCCTTCCCCAAAGAAGGAGCCACAGAATCCTGAGAAGATGAATGTGCCCTAACCTACCCCCCTGTGCCCAGGCCTTATGCATCTGCTGACTGACTCAGCCCCCACTTCCCCAGGCTCCTGGGGGGCCTTTCCTACCCCCATCAGCATCAATAAAACCTCCTGTCTCCAGTGGCCCTGGCTCCTCCCTGTGTGCTAGGCAGTGGGGGTTGGGCAGGGGATGGGCATGGGCTAGGGTTCCCCAGAGACTGGGAGCCTTTTGTTTCCTATAAAAGGGGACAGGAGACAATAGGCTTCATTGTGGTCCCCCACCCCCCAATTTCCCTAACAAAGCTCTGGGCTCCCTTGGAGGGGCCAGTCAGGGGCCTAGCCACTGACTGTAGTGGACTGGGATGCAAAACCTAAGGAAAAAACTCTGATCTAAGGCTCAGAAAGGGAGACGCTGAGAGCCACCAGCCCGCAGGCAGGTGCTCAGAGTCCTGCATTTGTTTGAGAGCTGTTCCCTTACACCCCCAAGGGGACAGGGTTTTTTTTGTTTTTTGCGGGGGGCGGGTTTTTACCAGACAGAGCTGGGGCTGGAAGAGCCTGTGCCTCAACCAAAGACTTTGAGTTATCCCAGCTATCAAGCCTAGCATCATAATAGGGACAGCTCAGTCACTCCTGCTCACCAAAACGGGGGCTTAGACCAGCCTTAGAAGACTCCAGGCCTAAGGTGGGAAGCCGCTTGGAATCGTACCTTGCAATGGACTTATTCCCTCCATCCTGGAGCCTGTCCCTCACCTCAGTTCCATGAAACAAAGATAAGCCTAGCCCAGGCTTTTGGGGGAAAAAACAAAAACAAAAAGAATTTTATTTGAAATAAAATGTACAATCCAAAGAGGTCTGGGCATGGGGCAGTAGGGAGGATAGGGGACACCAGAGAGCCCATTTTGGGGCAGGAATCTGCCTCTGACTCCACCTTACACCTTTGCCAAGGAGGAAGAGTCTGTAAGCCAGAGGTTTCAGAAGGGAGGGAAATATGTGCTGTGCCAGCACTCCTTCTGGAGCAGGTTGCCCTTCAGGCAACCACCTCCACAAAGTAGTTTCAGAACCACTGGCAGAGCCCATGCAAATCCTACAGCCCTCCTCCCCTGCCATCACCCACACGGACACGCTGAGGCTTAAATAGGGAAGCATACACTCTAAGTTGGAGGTGAAGTCAGGGCTAGAACACCTGAGCAAACTTAGCATGGGATGGTGGCCCTAGGCCTGGGTATGCACAGGACATGAGTAGACACATGAGTCAAGCAAATGACCCGGTGGTGAGAGATGGCTGTGGTTTTCAGGTAGCAGCCACTGTTCAGTGGTCCCTGACCTCAGCAAGAGGTGGCTATGTAAAGGCCAAGAACCGATTCGGTGGTTATGAACCTCGACTTTTTTTAGCACCAGATGGTGGAGCTCTCCTGCCAGCTCAGCCTCTTGGGGCCTCTCAGATAAGGGTGATGCTGCTTGAAGGTTCCTGTGCCTTCAGGCGGGGTGAGGGAAAGGAGAAGCCAGCAGGGCTGCCTGAAGCCCCGTCCTGTGCCCTTCCTCCTTTCTTCTCCCCCTTCCCCCACTTAGCATGGCCCACAGAGGACACAGGGCGGGGAAGGCCAGAGTGTAGTGTCTTGTTTCTAGTTTCTGGGCAGTGGACCGCCTCCTTCCTAGCAGAAGAGATAGGGTTTAGAATCGCTTTTCCTCAGGCTGGGAGGTAATGAGCAGCTCCTTGTTCCCGAAGTCCCACCAGGCCGTCATGTGGAACGCCATGTTGGTTAGGACGACAGTGTATTCCAGGATGGCAAAAATGGTGTACACTGTCGTGAGAACACAAGAGCAGGGCATGGTGAGCCTTCTGCCCCCAACCCCCCCGGGGCCTCTTGGTAAATCACCACCACATTTCTGCAGTGGGCACAAGCCCCCCCAAGACTACTGCCATAATGCACACTACAGAAAACATGACAACTATCCCAATAGACACTGTGACCACCAGTGGATCCCAGCCTGGCCTCACCTCCAGCCTCACAATACATGTTGTGCCGAAAGTAGACAGCCAACGCCGTGAAGAAGGAGATGAAGTTGATGATGAAAAGCCGCTGTTTCCAGTTGTAGGACTTGCGGTCCTAGAGGATGGGCTATCTCATCACTCTGTGGCCCTTTGGATATGTGGTGGGCAGCCTCCCCTCCTGGCCCCAGTTCCTAAGAGCTGTGTCTTACTTCCCTGGGTTATGGAAGGGGGCACGGGCAAGGGCAGCAGCAATGATGGGCATGTTCCTATCCCTGCGTTTGCGAGGATAATGAGGCCCTTCCCACTTCAGCCAGTTGGAATATGAAAGTTACTTGGAGTCACCCACCAACCTGACCCCTCCACGTACTACAGGGGGAAGAAAGGTGTGTGTGTGTGTGTGTGTGTGTGTGTGTGTGTGTGTGTGTGGACACTGGAGGTACCACAGACTGCTGACACTGCTCCTAACCCACAGCACCCTGGGTGCTGTCCCTCATTCTGCCCCAACTTGGAGCCCCCCAGCTCTGCTATCTTCCAGTCTCCCATATCACCCAAACATAGTCCTAGATTTGGCCCACTCGACCACCCTCCACCTGTCCCCAAGTCCCAGCCCCGGCCCGGATTCCCATGGGAACTCCAGCTCCCACCTCACCGTGACCCGCATCCTGAGGACAGGTGTCCTGGATGTTCCTCTGGGCTGCCTGGAGCCCCACTAGGGGTAGACCGTACCTCCTGACTTACTGTGTGCTTCTTGGTCAGCCGCCAGAGAATGCAGGTGAGGAGCATGTGACAGAGGGATGAGGCGATGAACACAATGAAAGCATTTTCATGGATGGCTGGGGGGAGAGAGGGGGGTTGGGAGCACGCCCTGCAGGGAGCATCCAAGCATCCTAAGGTCCGAGGGAGGGCGGGGGTGGGTGGCCCTCCCCAACCCTTCCCTGTTCCACCTTCCCTCATCTGGGCACCCACTGAAGTCCTCGGAAGAGGAGACGTAGGTGAGCACAAGCAGCGCCAGGTTCTCCACCACGTTGAGGCCGAAGTTGAGGCGACAGAGCGGGCGGTAGCCGGGACACGGGGACGCGCAGCTGAGATAGTGGTTCCAGTAGGCAAAGGCCACCAGGAAGCGAGGCGCCGAGTGCAGGCCGATGCAGAAGCGCCACACGTAGCGCTGGGGCACCTCCCCACCGATGGCCGAGCTCACCGAGGGCAGATAATTGGGCACCTAGAGAGTTGTGAGCTGTCGGGACAGGCCTCTGCCGGCCCCACCCAGCTAGAGAGCCTTTTCCCTCCGTCAGAATCACCCTGGCTCTCCTGAGGCCCCATTCCAGCCCCTCCCCTTCCAGGAGATCCTCCACGCACCCCCAGAGCGCTCCTGGGAGAAGTCCCTGCCAGGTCCCACCCCCCACCCACCACCACCACCAGCGTGCTTGTTCTCATTCCCTGGGCAGGCTGGTGTGTGTGCAGGGACTTGATGGGACTCTACATGGCTATGGAAGCTGGAGACAAATTCAGACACTCTCTGAGCCCATAGCACAGAGCTTTGCCTTCGATAAGGCCCTGTGGGAAGTTCAATGAGCCCAAGACCCTAGATTGGATAGATAGTCATGAGGACAGGCCACCTGAGCCTCCTTGGGACAGTGCTGGATGCACTGGGCAGCCGAGCTGTTCTTCTGACTCCTCCCAGCTTCACTTATTCTTTCGGGTAGATGTGCCAAGGTGGTAGAGGGTACTGTGAGATCCTGGGGGGAGCTGAATCAGTAGGGTCCCCCCACCCTGAACATGCTTAATAAAGTGGGTGCTCTTAACCTGGGATAGTCTAAGAAAAGGACCCCTTTCTTGCGCATCTCCCCCATTCATCTTTCTCAAAGCTGGAATTCCTCATTCCTTAAGGAACTGGAGCACTATTCTTTAAAGTTGAGGAAGGAGGAGGAGGTCACACACACAGCTGTGAGGATAGGTGTGTTGTCTGCATGAGAGGGTGAGAGGATGAGGGATGAGTGAACAACAGTATAGATGCTGACAGGAGAGCCAGGGCTAGGAGGAGGACCTCTCAGACTCCAGGGTCTAGAGCAATGCTTCTACCTTGAATGTGCGTGTAACTTATTGGGGATCATGTGAGAACGTAGCCAGTCTGGACTATGGGAATCTACATTTCTAAAGGATTCCAGGACTGAAAGCTACTAGCCTGTTGTACACACTTTCTGTGGCTTTTTTTAGACTTCCAGCAAAAGCCAGAGCAGGGCCAGGCTTCAGAGATGCAGTTCTAGAAGGTCCTTTCCTTTCTCTTAATGGGGATGCAGTCTCCATCAAGGCTGGGAAGGAAGGTGGAGGCAGCTCACAGAGCAGGGATCAGCCTGAGGGCTCATCAGCCAGGGGCTTCGAAGGCTTCCCAGAAAAGGAGACAGATTGCCCTCAGCACTATCAGAGGAAGCTAAGTGCAGAGCTCTTGGAGAGAGGGTGCTGCTCTCAAGGCGATGGCTTGAGATACCATAGCTTGAGACCAGGCTCAGACATTCTGAGTTGTCAGTAAAGAGGCAGCATGGAGGCTCTGGAGCCACACAAACCCGGGTCTGTATCCCAACTCTGCCTTTTTTTTTTTTTTAATTTTTAAATTTCATTTATTTATTTGACAGAGAGAGAAAGAGATCACAAGTAGGCAGAGAGGCAGGCAGAGAGAGGGGGAAGCAGACTCCCTGCTGAGCAAAGAGCCCAATGCGGGACTTGATCCCAGGACCCTGAGAACATGATCCGAGCTGAAGGCAGAGGCTTAACCCACTGAGCCACCCAGGGGCCCCCCTATCTCTGCCTTTATTAGTTGAGTGACCTTGAGCAGGTCACTTCACCTTTCAGAGCTTCGATTTCCTCACCAACAAAATAGGGATACTACCACCTACCTTGCAGGATGATTGCAGATACTGAATATAATTTATACAGAGCATCTGTGGCACAAATGGCTATGGTGATGGCTTTCATATTACCTACTTCCCTGAAAAGCCTACAAAAAGCTGGTCAGCTATGTGGTTCTTGAAGATGGGAAGACTGCATATGAGAGAGAGGTGAGAATCATACCTTTGCCAGAGATTTCTGAGACCTCCAAGCCTCCTTACTGTTCTGCCCCTCTGAGTTAGGTCCCCTAAGTAAGGTTAGTAAGAGTGCTGCCTCCACTTCCTAGAATATTCATTCTGAAAACTCCTGCCCCAACCCTAGCTACTTTAAGGGGAGTGGAACCAGCATGAGCTTTGTGTGTGTGTGTGTGTGTGTGTGTGTGCTTGTGTGTGGGGTGTGTGTGTGTGTGTGTGTGTGTGTGTGTGTGTGAGCATGAGCTTCTAAAGCTTGGCTGGGAGAGCCCAGAGTCCTGACCAATGCTGGAAAACAGGTAAAGAGATCGCAAAGAGCTTGGGGGACGCCTCTGGAGGAAGGGAGATTTCATAAACTCCTCTCAGAGTATGGGTGGAGGTAGGCTGCTAAGAGCAGGCATCTTCTTACCTCTCTCTCTCTCCCCCACCTCTCTCAGGCACACATGCACAGACACACTGATACACGCACGCACACACACATGTATAATCAGGTATAGATACTCACATATGTCTCCCCATCCAAAGCACACGAGTTCCCCGCTCACCAACTGTGCCAGCAACATCAGGAGCTATCAGAGACCAGCTACCCAGTTCATCTTAAGTTTCGCCATGAGCTCAGAGCTAAGGGTGCTGAGATGGGAACATAACCACTTTCCCCCAAGAACACAAACCCTCCACTGGCATGGAAGACCTGGCTCAGTGGATCTATGGTAGGGCAGTAGATCAGAGATTCACATGGTATAAAGGGTGAGGGTCCAAAAAATTCCCTACCAAAGCACCTCAGATTTCACCATTAGAGATTAATTCCTTTGATAAAACCCCCCAAAGTTATGGATAACTTTTCTGTCTACTGCCCCATCCCTTGCCAACTGGACACAACCTCTCATCCCTACAATTCAACCTGCTACCCTTCTCTGGACTCGATCCTCACCTCTCCAGCCTCATAATCCTTATTTTAGCTCTGGTCTCCCCAGTAGTGTGAATTACTACACTAACCTCTTCACTTCTCTCCCTATACTTGCTCCCTGCCCTTACAAATCTTCTCTATTCGGGAGCCAGAATGGTCTTCTAAAGCATAAGTCTGATCATGTCCCTTCCCTGCTTAAAATCGTTCCAAAGCTCACCACTGCCCTCTGGATAAAATCAGAAGTTGTCACCCTGGCATTCACAAAATCCTTCTTTACCCCCATAGCTGCAATGCCCCCTGCTTCAGGAAGGAAGTCTTCCCCAACATCTAGGCTACACTAAGTGCTTGCTCTGGGCCCCGTGATCCTTGTGCTCCACTTTATCACAGTGCCTCCCATCTCACTGTGCCTGACCGTCTGTGTCTAGGACTGTCTCTTATAGGATGAGGGGCTAAGGGCAAGTGAATGTTCGGTTCCATGCCCCTGACCCAGAACTCTACTCCTGGGCCCTCAGAAAGGCCAGGTGGACTGCTCATAGAGGCAGGAAGTCCATCTAGGTTTCTAGCTAGCAGAGCCCTGAGTGGACACAAGTTGTGGGGCCCAAGGTTGCCAGAGGGAGAAACCAAACTAGAAGATTCCAGGGCAAGGCTTGGGGGTCCTCTTGGCCAGGCCCCAATCTCAGCTAAACCCAACTACGACGTCTCCTGGCTCCTGGCTGCATCTGACTCCCCAGTCTTGGCTTCCTTCCCAGTCTGGACTTTCTTCAGCCTCCTCCTCCCTCTCATGACCTCTTTTACCTATTCCCCTCCTTTCCCCTCCCTTCTCCCCTCCACTTCGTGACACTCTCTATAATCTTCTCCTCTCAGAGGACTGTGACTCCACTCTCACTGAGTGTCTCCCCACAAATCCCCCCAACTCTGACTTGCCCCCCACTATCCTTTCATCCCTTCCCCTCTCTCTGACTCTCTACCTCCTCTCCTATTCTCTGATTCCACTCTCATGGCCATCTCCCAACCTGGCTCTGACCTGGCCCTGACCCAGGTGCGGGGGAGCATGGCACTCACCCCACAGTCAGTGGCCACCGTGTACTCAAAGTGGAACACCAGAGACCAGATGATGCAGAAGAAGAAGCCGAACATGGGGAAAGTGATGATCCACCAGATCACGGCCGTGAAGCGGAGCCGGAACACAGTCCCATCTGGGTCCAAGGGCTGTGAGGCCGCAGAGAACATCCTGTATGGAGTGGTGGCCAAGAAGGGTGAGGGACATGCTTGGGTGGGTGGGACACATGGGCCTCAGGAAATGAGGCCTTTTCTGGACCTGGCTCCTCTGGGTAGAGGGAAGAGCCAGAGTAGAAAGAATGCAAGGGGAAAAGGAAAGTAGTGCAGAAGATCAGGAGGGCAGAGAGAGATGGGGAGGGAGCCACTCGGGCGGGCAGGGTCAGCTCTTAGGAATCCCTTTGGCACCTACCCACTCAGAAGGGTCAGAGGTAGAAAGGTTGTTATTTCTGTTCCACAGAAGGAGAGAACTATGCCAGGATCAAACATTAGAACTAAGGTTTCAGCCCCTGACAGCCTAAAGCTCCCAAGTCAAGGCTTTCTTCAGGCCAAATCACCGAAATGAAGGACCCTTGCTCAGCCTCAGCCCTCCCACTGACCCCGTCTGACCACATTCCTGCTCTTCACCCAAGTTCAACCAGGAACAGTGGGAGCGCCCAGAACATTTCACTGGGGTCACAGTCTGCCCACCAGCCCACCCCCAGGCTCAGAATGAGCCAAGCCTCAGCCAGCAGTACTGTCATCTCAAGATACCAGGGTCCCTGCAGAGGCCCAGACCTCCATCTCCTTCCTCTCTGCAAAGACCATGTCACCCAGTCCAAAGGTTATGGGAATCTAAGGGCCACAGGAATCTTCTCCACTCACCCTGAGCCTGTCTGCTGGGCCGGACCTAGCAAGGACAGACCCAGCCCAAAGGAACTGACCTTCCTCCACTCTCTTTTCCCTCTAGGCGGAGAACTCCCTCCTCCCACCTCCCCCTGCCCCAACGACCATGACTTGCAAGCTGGGTTCCCTTCCGGGGGGACAGACAGAAATGGCTTTGTATTAAAAGCCCTTGGACCAAACTTCCCTTGGGACACATACCTCTCTCCGTTAAGGGAACACCAGTCCACTAGTCCAGCTCAGCATCAGGGAAATGGGGGAGGGGGCTCGCACTGGCAACACTCACACTGGGTGCTGATGGATGGATCCTAGGCTTGAGTTGAGGGCTCTAGCCAGACTGAGACTATTCTAAGACTGGAGGGTCCCACCCCTAGTTCCCCAGGGCCTGCCCTCCCACCCACGGAGCCTAGATCTCCACGCCTGCCCAAGCACACAGCCCTCCCAGGACCAACAAAACCATATCATAAACCCTGGAACACTCTGCAAAGATAAGAGTGATAGTGGCTAACGTCAGCCTACGGAAGCTTCCTTGCCGGGGATGGGCGTAGGGACCTTTCTGAGGGTTGTGTCCTGGGAAACAGGCAGGTTTCTGGGAAGGGAAAGGGAGAAAGCAGAATAGGATTTCACCCCTTTTTGCTGGGAGCCAGAGTAGGTCTGTTGGGCCTCATTGGAGAGCCAGCTAGTCATAGGACAACAGATTTAGGATCCAAATGAGATCTAGATGGGCCTGAATATGCTGTATCAGTGTCCAGCCTCCTCTGCAGAAGCAGCTAACATCAGCCCAAGACGCCCTAACAGGGGTCTAACAGCCAGTAATAGGAATGCAATGGTCCTGCTTTTGCCTCTACTGCCCAGGCCATAGGAAGTCCTAGGCCCACAGCAGGGCCTCGGATGGAGAGAGGAGTGACCAACTGAGCCAAGGCTAGGGGTGCATGTCCTGTGAGGTTTGCCCGAAAGAAGTGGAACTATGCTACACAATAAGAGTAAACTCAGGGACCCACCCCACCCTGCAATTACTGCTATCCCATCTCTGTAGGACTGGCTTGACACCAGGAGGAGAAAGGAGCTTTCAGTTTCCCAAAGCAGAGCCAGGGCAAAAGCAGAGATTCATCAGAAAGAGAAAGTGCGCTTGCTACAAGAAACAGCTTGCTAATTGTTAGTTACTAGGCCTCCTTGGAATAGGCTGTCTGGAGAGGAAGGAAGCGCCGCATCACTGGAGATATGCAAGCAGAGGCATAGCCATCTAATTATAGATGCGTTAGACTAAAGTTACTTCTTTTATTCCTAGGGTTGGCCATTCAGGGAATACTCTAGGTGAGAAATTCAGAGCAGACATCCACCTAGACTGCCCCTAGGTGGCTATAACACAGTCGTCCCAGGGAGTGGGGACAAAATCTCCCCTGGGTCACTAAGCTCACTCAGTCCTGACCCAGAAGGACTAGGTACCTGTGCCACTATGCCTATGCCTTAGCTCCCAAACTAGTTAGTATGCCAAGAATGGGGTCTAGATATGTCAGGTATGCTGAGTTATTGATCCCATTAGTCCTCAGGAGACAGCAATGTGGGGCAGAGCAAACAGCCTACTCCATTTAACTCCATATGCTATACAAATATTATAATTTTCTGAATGGGCTATGACTACAGGCCTTCTTTTTCCCAGGGTACTGGGCTGGTATGTGTGTGTGTGTGGGGGGGGGGTGTCCTGTTTATTTATTCAACAAATTCTTTCCGATTCAGATGTAGTGCCCACCTTGAAGGAGCTCCCAGTCTGGTCTGGTGGGGAACAGAGACACAAACATGATGTGATAGAACTGCAGGAAAGATAAAACAGGGAACTTCCAGAGAAAAGAGTGATTCAGTTTGCCCCCAAGGAGGCTAGGAAAGGCTTTTCAAAGGAGGTGACACTTGAAAAGGGTTTTGCAGGATACAATGATGTTGACCAGGGTGAGAGAAACATTTGAAGCATTATCTAAGGTAAAAACTAGCTCAGGAAAGGCCATTGGTTGGACCCTTTCTGATCTCCCCCCACCCAGATCACCTGGACACCCTCTCTTCTTCCAGTTCTGTTCTTTCTGATAGCTCCCAGCCTTGGGTCTCATCAGAATGGCTGCCCAGAGCTCAAGGCCAACGTCTCTTCAATGACGAATCAAGGAGAGGGAAAACTTTCAAGTCATATGAACAAAGGAACTAAGCCCCACTCCATACTGCCAGCCATACCCCAGTCCCGGTCCTAGTCGTAGCCCTATTTCTGGAGCAGACACTCTTTATAGAGAAGCAGGAATCTGAGATGAGTGGGGGCCTACAGAGATCTCTTGATGCTACTGCAAGGGTCCATGTCCAGGCCCTGCCTCTTTCCTATCTACAGCCCCTAAGCTCTTCCTCTCCTGCCCTGCCTTCTAACCTGACAATTTCCTTTTCCTCCTCTTACTTCTGCTCCTCACCCTTCACCATTTCCCAAACCACCTTCCTATTCTTCCTCTATCTAGAGCTGTATCCTGGCCCTGAGGAGGAGGATGGGAATTGTCAACTCGATTTTAGACATGGGGAGGCTCAGTCTCTGTGTCTCAGGTAATACAGAGTCAGTAGATGAACTAGGAGTGTAACAGAGGTCAACACAGGCTCACCCTCTTTACTCTGAGATACTACAGAGAAAACTCGTGTCTTTCCTTCTGGCCCAGCATGCCATATCCCAGTCTAGAAGGTGCATGGGTGCCTACAGGAACATAGCCCATATACATATATGGAACACACCACACACACACACACACACACACACACACACACATCAGGCCCCCATCTGGACACACACAGATACGGTCTCTCCCACACATAGTTGTGTCCCTCACAGTCACACACACGCATACATAATCACATTCCCCCAGAGACAGGCACAGCCTACAATGACACACTAAGAGGCTCCAGTTCCTTCTAGCTCAGGCCTGTTCTCTCTCCATCCCTCACAAAACCTGGGGCTCCTGAATCTACCCTGCTATCAAGTAAGGATTGGGTTCTCGGTCCTGGCACTACCCAGCTTCAGGGACTGCAGGCCCTAGTGACTTCCATGGAAAGTGGCAGAAGGCTCATTCCTGAGACCTGGATTTGCAGGCATCCTAACCTCCAGCAGCCCAATTTGTTTGATGGACCCCACTGGAGGCCTCGCTAATCCTTTAACAATAGAATCATGATCCAAAAAAGATCCAATTGGGCCTGAAGATATCATTCCCCGAACACCCTGGGCAAGCCCTACCCCACAGTGTGTGGCCGTAGTCTCCTTGAAGTGGAAGAGCAGGGACCAGAGGATGCAGAAGAGGAAGGCGACAAGTGGACAGCAGACCGTGACCAGGGCCACCAGGGTGAAGCGGAGCCGGACCAGGGTCCCATCCCGGTCCAGCGGCAGTGGGACCTGGTACATCTTGTCAGACCTGGGGATGAAGTAATGTGCTGTCAAGACCCAAGGCAGCAAGGCCAGGACTCAGTGGCAAAGCCAGCCCTCGTGTTCAGTCCTCAGCTTAGCTGTGCTAATGGGGTGAAGGGTCTGAGAAGAAAGCCATCCAGCCCCTAAGCTTGGACAGCTCCTGTCCCGAAGAAGACTGACTTAGAATCCCAAGAGAATATTCATCCTCAATTTCAGAGGAAAGACAACAAACCCACTCTGTGCTAAAACAAGGCTTGAACGGATAGGGAGAACCTCTTCTCCCTTATAGCTGGCTTTACAGCAGGAGCTGGTTTAACTGGTCTCTCTTGTTTCAGGAACCAACCCTAAAACCTCCCAGTGGACAGAGGGGCCCATCTCTTCCCCCAGGCCTTTGAGCCTCCAGGCTTCAGGGCCTCCCATCAGCTCTCTCTGCTTCACCCACTGGCCCAGGACCTTCTGTACCTTCAATCCCTTCCCAGGTTCTGTGTGCCTGCACCACAGAGCACAGCAGCAAGGCCTCCATGGAAGCCAGTAGGGCCCTGACCCCGTGCTCGTCCCCGCCTGCTGCCTCACGTGCTCTGGGGGTGAAAAGCTTTGCAGAATCAGGCCTAGTGCTGGCCTGGGCTTGCTGTTTGCTGGAAAGAGCTGCCTTGTCAGCTTTTGGAGGCTTCCCAGTACCCATAGGGCCTATCCATCCCCCTCCAGAGATGAAGTAAAGGCTCCTGAGGACTGTGACTCCCCCCCGAGATGGAGATAGGAAGGTCAGGAACTATAATAACCAAGTACACACCTACAATCCCAAGCTCCGTCAGTGCATAGAAGGAGAAATTGAGTCCAAGAGAGGAGCAGGAACCTGCTCAGGGTCACAGAACTTGAAGGAAGAGCCCACAGTGGGGAGATGTGGGGCCCACAGGATCACAAACTACAACCCTAGCCTTCTTTGACCCCTTCCTCTCTGGCCAGAGGTCTGGGCAGAAAGGTCAGGTTAGGTCAGATTAGGAGGGGAGAGAGAAGGGGTGCCTGCCCATGAGAGAAAGAAAGGTAAATCAAATCCTGTATAGACGAGTCCATGAGCCCTGGCCCCACTGCAAAAGACAGAGAAACCAAGACGCAGAGAGAGGAAGGTTCTTCCTCAGAGCCCGATGCTGAACCTGATAGAGAGCCATCCTTGGAACTTAGGCTGCTTGTGGCCAAACTAGGGCTGGCTCCAGATTCATAAAGAACCTGCCCTTCTGGACTCAAAGGTCTTGCCAGATCAAGCCCCAACTCTTCCTGGCCCCACCCTCAGGAAGCACCTCTTGGCATTCCAGAAGCGGGTGAATACGCCTCTGTGTTCTCCTCCATCTTCCCTCACCTGCCTCTCTGCCAGGCCAGATTAGGCAGCCTGCCCCAGTTGCCCAAGTTCCTTTCTCTCTTCAGGGGCTAGGGATCTCCCAGGGGAGGTGGAAGTGGCTCTGGTGACCGCCCAAATCAAACACGTTTCTTGGATCGTCCCCAAATGAACTGTAAGTCCCCAGAGGTAAGGGGAACAACTTCCACACCCAGCCCAAATCTTGATTCTGTGCTTGTAGCAGCATTAGCTCCCTCCCTCAACCCAGCAGCTCTGGATCCCTCAGGAACCACTGGGATGCCCAAACTGAAGACCAGATCCTCTGGGAATGAATATGCACTGCCCAAGGCAGTGGGTGGAGAAAGAGGCTGGAGGAATGGTCTGTTCCACAGCTTAGAGGTATGCTGGCTCCCCTTTTAGCTGTGTGACCTTTGACAAGTCATCTACCACTCTGGGACTTTCCCCCAGCTGTGGGACATGAAAATCAGGAGGTTTAGATTATTAATAAGGCCATTAAAACATGGCCATTTTACTCCTCCAGGTCTCAGGACATGGAGCTCACTACCTGAAGGGCAGCTGTTCAGTCCCAGTCAGCTCTTAACTGCTTCAAAGGGACTACTTAGCTGGACACTGCTTTCTTAGAAGTACCCCTATCTTATCTCCAAAGGTCCAAGAGATCTCAGCCTCCAGCGGGAATCCATACTTACCTGGCACCTTCTGAGCATGAATAGCAGTTGACAGACTTGGCGCACATTGTTTCTTGTAATCCTCACTATAACTCTATGAGGTAGGCCCTATTGCCTGTTTATTTCCATTTACAGAAGAGGAAACTGAGGCTCAGGGAAGTTTAAAACACTTGTGCAAGGTCACAGGCTAATAACTGACAGAGGTGGGATTTGAAATTACTTCATGGGGTTCCAGCCCCCCCCCCCACACACACACCTCCATCCCCCGCACCTAAAGAGAAATGCCAACCAACAGTCCTTGTGAAGTGAAGGGAGAGCTCAACCAATGCACAGCCAGCCACCATGACGAAGAATAGAGGGGGAGAGGGGTTGGTTTAGAAGTCGGGACAGCAGCAGATCCTGGGCAAGCATCAGCACCGTCAGAGCGTGGGGCTGGACCTTGAGGAGGCCGGACCGCGTGGTGGAGCTCCCCCAAGTGGGGTTGCCAGGCAGTCCAGCACACCCATCCCCATACTCACCCAGGATGTGGCGGCGAGGAGGCCGCATCAGCGCAGGCCTGGCGCTGGGGGAACCCGAGCGGAGCCCAGGCGGGGCCTGGGGCAAGCGGCGGGGGGCGGGCGGGAGCGGGAACGGCGGGGGCGGGGCCAGCGCGCTTGGGGAGGAAACTGCGCCCAGATCCTCCGTTGGCCCCTCCCCACTTCTGCGGACCTAGACCCTTGGCTGTCCCCCTCGATCCCGCGTTCCCTGGTGCCATGCTCTCCAGCTCTCGGCGGCTCCACTAATTCCCGCTGCGTGGGGACGGCCGGAAGAGCCCTGGACCCCTGGTTTTGACACGTTGGGTAAGCCACCTTGTCACCTTACCTCTCAGCTGTGTTCCATCACCTGTTGAAAGAACATAAAATTAACTCAACAGGGCCCCGAATTCTCCAATTTCCTAACCTCAATGCCTCCTGCCCACGCTCCCATTCTAGCCGAATTGTCCAGCCTCGCCCTTCTGAAACATTACAACAGCTTTGCCCCAACCTCAACGCCCCCTCCCTAACTTTGCTCCCCAGAGCCGATTCGAGCAAAGGGAAGAGCACCTTATGGGTAGAGAGAGATCAGTGAGAAACACCCCAAAAGCTCTGGGCCAGAACTGTTCCCACTTTTGATCAGGAGAGGGCGCCCTGTCCTGTCCTACAGAACATAGCAAGGCTCTCCTCCGCTCCGCCCCCGTCACACCCCGCCAAAAGAGGGTGGAATCCCAGAAACCAGCCCCCAGGGGTCCCTCTCCACTCTGACGCATAAAGGAACCTGAGGAGGACTCGGGGTTGTCGGAGCACCTCCAGGTGGTAAAGGACCTCCGGAGCTAGACATGGTCACCATCACATTTTCCTATTTAAATCCCCACAGTAATAATTAGCACCTTTTGAGCACTTTATGTCTTCCAAGGGCTTTTTTTTTTTTTTTTTTTTACTTTTTATGCATTATCCCATTTAATCCTCATAAAAACCGCATGAGGTAAATACTATTACTATTTCCGTTTTACCAGTGTAAAACAGAAAAGATATGTTACCTATTCACACAGTTACAAATGTCAGAACCAGGATCAGGGTCTGACCCCTGAGGGCATTCTCTTAATCCCCCAGGTTGCCCCTGGAACGATGGTGAGTTTGAACAGCACAGGTCCACTTATACGTGAATTTTTTATATGTATATTGAGAGAGCACAGTAGTGTAAATGCATTTTCTCTTACTTATGACTTTCTTTAAAAACTATATTTTTTTACAGTAGGCTACACACTCAACATGGGGCTCAAACTTAAAACCCCAAGATGGAGAGTCACATGCTCTGCCAACTGAGCCAGGTAGGCACCCCCTCTTCCTTATGATTTTCTGAATAAGATGTTCTCTCTGCCTCTAGCTTACTTTATTGTCATAATATGAAACACAGAACATACAAAATATGTGTTAATTGAGTTTGTTATCAGTAAGGCTTTGGTCAACAGTAGCTATCTGTAGTTAGGTTCTGGAGGAGTCAAAAGTTATAGATGGATTTTTGACTGTGCCAGGGTTCAGCACTCCTCACCCCTGTGTTGTTCAAGAGTCAACTGTATAGAGACGCCTGGGTGGCTCAGTCATTTGGGCATCTGCCTTCAGCTCAGGTCGTGGTCCTGGGGTCCTGGGATTGAGCTTCACTTTGGGCTCCCTGCTCAGCGGGGAGTCTGCTTCTCCCTCTCACTCTCCCTCTCTGTTCTCCCTCTTTCTCTCTCTCAAATAAATGAATAAAATTTAAAAGGGGGGGGCGTCAACTGTATAATGTTAACCCCACAAGGTAGCTATAATAATCACCACTTTGCAGGTGGGCATACAGAGGCTCAGATTTGATGAATTTACCAGAGCTCTTTTTCATGTGTTAACTCTTGTTCATGTATTCAGCCTAGGCCCTCCATGTGGCTGGCCCTAGCCAGGCAATGGTGGGAACCTAGAGATCTCTCACTCCTGTGGCTCCAAGTCTGGAGGGGTGATGCCCTTTTTTTTTTTTTTTTTTAGATTTATTTATTTGTTGGGGAGCAGGAGGGTGGGGAGCACAAGCATGTGGAGCAGCTGGCAGAGAGAGAAGCAGGCTCTCTGCCGAGCAAGAAGCCCAATGTGGGACCCTGGAATCATGACCTGAGCAGAAGGCAGACGTTTAATCACCTGAGCCACCCAGGAATCCCTGGGTGCCTTATTCTAAAAACTTCTTTTGTTGACCTTGAACTCTCCTCCACCCTGTCCTTTAAGGTCTCAGGACAAATGAACAATTCATAAAACTTTACTAAAAGAACGATTTCCTTTTAGTTTCATTAACTAGATGTAGGTTTCCTACCTTAGGGCTTTGTGTCATCCCTTTTTGTTTAGCTCCAACCCACAGATGCCTGCTCCTGGCCTTTATTCCCTGTCTTGACACCTTGTCTGTTACTTTGGCTCTAAATACCATTTCCTGAGGCTGGGTCTCTTCTCTCTGCCTCTAGACTACCCCCAACGTCTGAAATTTGAGGTGCATTAATCTTGCCTTTAATTCTTTGGTGATTGGGGCAATTCACCATACAGTCCTGAATCTCAATTTCTTCATCTGTAAGATGGTTTTAGGAATATCCACAGCACAGCGTTGCTGTGAGAATTAAATGAAGTAAAATAGCAGTGTGCCAGGCATGTGGAAAATACTCACTACATCATGGCTATTAGGACCCCATGTGGAAGCTACAGCTTGAACCGGTCCTGATTGAGCCTTTTCTGAAGTGTGACCACAGCTGTCACTGACCCTCTCTAAATCTGTTTCATCCACTGCCAGTTCGAAAGCCTATCAGCTACCTTGATTTATGTGAGGAAAAACAGAAGAGAAGAATGAGTTCTAACTAGGTGCCAGGAACTTTCTGTACCCTTTCTAATTTGATACTCTTAATAATCTGGTGAGGTAAATGTGATGGAATCTTTGTACAGATAAAGAAGTTGAACAAGCATCTAAGCCTCCAGTCTTGCCTTCATTCAGCGGGTACTCGGTGTTTGCCAAATGGGCATTTGCTCATCATCCAAGTAGCTGTTGCTGCTGTTGAAGCCTTCCAATGTCTCCTGCCCTCCTGGTTGTTTTGCCTCGTGCCTGGACATACCCCAGAAAGGCCTGTGCCTGAAATAGCACCACCCCTTTCCAGCTTTGGCCATCATCACTGCTCCACTCCCTCATCCACACACACATACCAGATACCCCAAAGCTGACCAGTCATTTATTTACAGGGATGTCCCAGCCCCCAGTAGCATGGGGGACGGTAGAGAGGTGGGAAGCGGAAAAGAAGTGAATGCGGGATGCACTTGTCAAGGACAGCTTCCTGTGAGTCTCCTTCCCTGGCCTCCTTGCACTTTTAGCTCTTCATCATCCTCCACTTACAGCCACAGTGGCTCTTGTTAAAAAAAAAAGCAGATCTGATCGCATGCCTCCCTTGCTGCAAACTAGTAACTCCCTATGGCTTATTATACCTATAAAGGTATTAACTAGCGTCATACTTAGGAATGCACGTGGTAACTTCTAGGGAGATGACTAAAATTATATAAGAAGATAATTTAATTTCTAAACTGGTACAGGAGGAAAAACAAAATAATTCAAAAGAATGGTAAGAAAGTGGGGATTTAAATGCAAAATAAGCAATTGAAAAGGTGGTCAACATCATTAGTCATTAGGGAAATGTTTATGAAAACCACAATGAGATGTCACTTCATAGCCCCTAGGATGGCTATAATAATAATAATGAAAGGAAAATAGCAAGTGTTGGCAAGGACATGGAGAAACTGGAACCCTCATCTCCTATTAGCAGGAATATACAATAGTGCAGCCACTTTGGGAAACAGCCTGGTAGTTCCTCAAAAAGTTAAACACAGGGTTACTATAGGACCCCATAAATCCATTCCTAGGTATAAACACAAGAGAACTGAAAACGTATGTCCACAAAAAACTTGTACACGAATATCCATAGCAGCATTATTCATAGTAGCCACAAGTAGAAACTCAAATGTCATTCAACTTTTGAGTGTATAAATGAAATATGGCTTATCCATAAAATGGAATGTTATTCTACCATAAAATGGAAAGAAGTGCTACAACATGGATGAAACTTCAAAACATTATGTTAAGTGAAAGAAGTCAGACACAAAGTCCACATATTGTATGATTCCATTTATAGGAAATGTCCGGATGGGCACATTCGTTGAGACAGAAAGTAGATTAGTAGTTGCCAAGGGCTGGGGGAAGGGGGAGATGTGGAATGACTGCTAATGGTCTAAGATTTCTTTTTTGGGGTTATGAAAATCTTCTAGAATTAGATAGTGGTGATAGTTCCCCAACTTTGTGAATGTAGTGGATCCTTGAACAATACAGGTATTGGAGGCTAACCCCTTACAGTCCAAAATCCAAGTATAACTTTTGATTCCCCAAAACCTTAACTACTAAGAGTCTACTGTTGAGCAGAAGCTTTACCGGTAACATTAAATGCTTGATTAACACATACTTTGTATATATATATATATTATATACTGTATTCTTCCAATAAGATAAGCTGGAGAAAATAATACATTATTAAGAAAATCATAAAGGAGAGACAATACATTTACAGTACTATATTATACTTATTGAAAAATATTCTCTTATAAGTGGACCTACTCAGGGGTGTCTGGGAGGCTCAAACTGTTGAGCGTCTGACTCTTGGTTTCAGCTCAGGTCATGATCTCAGGGTCCTGAGTTGGAGCCCTGTGCCAGGCTCCCTGATCAGCAGGGAGTCTGCTTGAGATTCTCTCCTTCTGCCCCTCCCACTGCTCCTGCTCTTTCTCTCTATCTAAAATAAATAAATCTCTTTTTTTTTTTTTAAAGATTTTATGTGTTTATTTGACAGACAAATCACAAGTAGGCAGAGAGGCAGGCAGAGGCGGGGGGCCCGGGTGGTGAAGCAAGCTCCCCGCCGAGCAGAAAGCCCGATGTGGGGCTCCATCTCAGGACCCTGGGATCATGACCTGAGCCGAAAGCAGAGGCTTTAACCCACTGAGCCACCCAGGTGCCACAAATAAATAAATCTTTAAAGATAAAACAAATAAGTGGACCTGCCAG